TATATATATATATATATATATATATATATATATATATATATATATATATCTTGGTCAAAGGTGTTTGGGTGTTTGAGCTCAATAAATATTTTGTGTAAAATCACTGAGGTAACTCTGTATTTCTTGTTAACTAATTTTTAATTGTTCTAAATTTACTTTAGAATACAGGACTATTTCTTATGTTAACACACAAATCCATATTTGGCCTGCAGAGAAACTCTGAATTAGTTTCACTTAGAAATTTGACACTAAACAATCTGTGACTTTTTATGTTCTATGAAACTATGTTCATTATTATTCTAAGCAGTGGTCATGTCATAAGCTGAAGATAGCCTTTCTGAAAACGATAGTGACTCCTGTTATTTTTCATCACTTCTAGTTCTATTGCAGTCCACATAAGTGGGCGCTCACTACCAAACAATGACACACATGACAATTGTGTTCATCACATACATTAATCAAAGGCAAATCAAAATAATGTGAGTTCCAAACATGTGGCCAATAAAAAAAAAAAACTCATGTTATTGAGATTTGATATTTTGGGGTGGACAGATCTGAGGAATGGGAAGAATTGGGCAAAATAGAGTAAAGGATGTGCTTGCATCTCCTTTCTCTTGGTATATCCTATGCTTGGACCGGCCTCCTGCTTCCATGTGTGATGAGGCCCTAAGAAATGCACAGGGCTCGTTTGGGATCTGGGAGCTGCAGAGGCAGCAATGATGGGTTGGTGACTCCTGCCAGAGTTCTAGGCCACCTACCCCCCAAATCAACACAGGAGGCAGTGGTGTTGGTGATGCCAATCCCACATTCTAAAGTGTTGAGGACGGTACAAATCTAAACGATCCCCAAGCTTCTTGGGTCAGTTTCATTATGCAACGTTTTTATCAGAGTCAAGTGTTGTATTTAGTGGTTGCTCCAAGTTTTGCATATGATGGACAGCCTAACTGAAACTGATTTTCTTCCCTTCTTCCCTTAATCAATCTCTCTCTCTCTCTCTCTCTCTCTCTCTCTCTCTCTCTCTCCCCTCCCCTCTCTCTTTTCCTCCCTCCCTCCCTCCCTTTAGATTATCTTCAGGGCAAAACGCAGCGTCAGTTACATGGGAGATGTAGCAGTGGATGACATTACCTTTCAAGATTGCTCTCCCCTCCTCAGCCCAGACAGGAAGTGCACTGCTCAAGAGTTCATGTGTGCTAACAAGCACTGCATTGCACAGGACAAGCTGTGTGATTTTGTGAATGATTGCACTGATAATTCAGATGAGACTACCTTCATTTGCAGTAAGTAAAAGTGTTCTGTTTCTAACTTTTGCCTTTATCTCTCACAATCTTACTCAATTCCATGCATTAATTGCTGAACATACAGAGTATGTATATAGCTCAGCAGCTGAGGCAGTTAGGGTCAATCAGAAAAAATATGTGCACCCCTATGTTCATAGCAGCACAATTTATAATAGCTAAGATTTGGAAACAGCCCAAGTGCTCATCAGTAGATGAGTGGATAAAAAAGCTGTGGTATATTTACACAATGGAATATTATGCAGCTATAAAAAAGAATGATCCCTTACCCTTTGAGACAGCATGGAGGGACCTGGAGAGCATTACGCTAAGTGAAATAAGCCAGTCAGAGAAAGACAGGTGTCATATGATCTCACTTATATGTGGAATCTAATGAACAAAATAAACTGATAAACAAAATAGATCCAGAGACATGGAAGCATAAAACAGTCTAAGGAATCTCAGAGGGAAGGTGGGGGTGGGTGGATGGGCAGGAAGAGATCAACCAAAGAACTTATATACATATATGTATAACCGTATTGCAGACAATAGTGTGGTGAAGGCCTAGGTGTGTGTGTACTGGATAGGGTCAATGGTGGAAAAAAGGGGGACATCTGTAATACTTTCAACAATAAAGATAAATTTTTAAAAATAAATACATTACTTTTTTTTCTCTCAACACCTAATTTAGAACCGGGAATCGCTTAAAACTAGATGACGGATTGGTGTGTGTGTGTGTGTGTGTGTGTGTGAAGGAATTGGAGATAAATTGGAAAACACAGAAGGGAAGCAAGTATTTTCCATGTAAAATAAATTTTTGAAAACACACACACAACACACGCACACACACACACGCACACACACACACAGTAAAACATCCATCAACACTTATTCATGCAGGGTTATCAAGCCTCTATGCTTGGATGCATTTCAGAGAGTTGTCATTCATTCATGTAAATTATGAGATGTGGTCAGTTGTGAAAAAACCAAAAATGAATGCCCAGATATTACATAAAAAAGGCAAAGTGGTCTCCTAAAGGAGATACATATCAACTATGTACTATTGTTTTAGGAGATTGATTTATAATAAACAACACCTATTAAAATATCCTTAGCTCAATGGGCCATATATGCTCATTCAGGTAAATCTGTAAAATTGTACAATGTAGCCCAGTTGTTGCCTCATTTCATTGCAAATGAGGTGAATACAAATGATCAAAATGAAGTTTGACAAAGTATTTCACTCTACTAG